CTCTGTAAGTCCTACAAAAATTGAAGGATTTTCTTCAAACTTGGCTCAAATGTTCACCTCAACAAGGGGATGTGCAGAACAAATGTTGTCTTTGTGTAGGCTCAAGGTCAAGGTCATAAATGAAGGTCAAATATCAAACAATCAAATATTAGACAGTATGTCGTGTCCGCTCTGTAACTCCTACACTTATTGAAAGATTTACTTCAAACTTGGCTCAAATATTCACCTTAACAAGGGGATGTGCAGAACCTATGTTGCCAAGGTGTCAGCTCAACGTCAAGGTCACAATTGAAGGTCAAATATCAAACAATCAAATATTACACAATATGTCATGTCCGCTCTGTAAGTCCTACACTAATTGAAGGATTTTCTTCAAATTTGGCTAAAATGTTCACCTCAACAAGGGGATGTGCAGAACCCATGTTGCCCATGTTTCAGCTCAAGGTCAAGGTCACATTTGAAGATCAAATATCAAACAAACAAATAATAGACAGTATGTCGTGTCCGCTCTGTATGTCCTACACTTATTGAATGATTTTCTTCAATCTTGGCTCAAATGTTCACCTCAACAAGGAAATGTGCAGAACCCATGTCACCTTTTTGCCGGCTTCAGGTCAAGGTCACACTTGAAGGTCAAAAATTGACTTAGAAAATATTCTTAAATTTTAACATTTATATGAATATTTCTGAATCTAGAAAAGGTATTTGCTTGAAACTTAAAATATATAGGAAAGGTCACAATGAAGATATGCTGGTCAAGTTTCATAACTCTGTATTGCATTTTAACAAAGTTATGCCCCTTTTTTGAGTCTTTAAATTTACATACAATTAATACTAGACAATATGTTGTGTCCACTCTATAAATTCTTTACTAATGGAAGGATTTTCTTCAAATTTACTCAAATGTTCACCCCAACTGGGCGATGTGCAGAATCCATCTTACCCTGGTGCCAGCTGAAAGTCAAGGCTACACTTTAAGTCAAAAATTGACTTATAAAAAGTTTAATATTGGGAAAATGAAAGGTTATTTGTAACTGTTTCGAACATGATTTGATAATGAATATTTATACTTTTACCTGTACAATTAGTCTTTTTTTCACCAGAGATAATTTCTTTTTATGTATTTATGCGCCACTTAAGTTATTTCCTTTACCACATTTCCAAGTCGTCTTCTGTCAAGGACATTGGTGGGGGTATGAATCACATTTAGCGATAGTTCTAGTCTAATTTAAGAACGATAATTCTATCCCCGGGGACTGTATGTTTAACGCTATCACGGCATTTCGGAGTGGTTAATTCCCAGGGATCTCTTTATGTCTAATTCTATCCCGGCTAATACACATCTCTTTATTATAAATGTTATCAAATATTTTCTATTTCAATATGATATACAATATCGTAGTTCTATTAATGACATGTGTTGTGATTTTATAAATGAATGTGGAATATACCTGTATTTTGATAATAACCTTGACTAAAGAGTAAAATATAAGTCTGCATTGTTAGCTCCACTATTCGATAAGAATAAGTAGAGCTATTGTAGTCGCCCGAGCGTCGGCGTCTGCGTCGGTGTCGGCGTCGGCGTCGGTGTAACCACTTATAAATGTTAAAGTTTTTGTAATACCTCAAATATTTTCAAAGTCCATTGACATGTGCCTTTGAAACTTTGCACACTTTTTCACCATTATAACCCCAACCTGTAGACAGGAGGAGGTACAATGTAACTGTATCAAGCATTTTGACAGAATTATGCCCCGTGCAAAAATACGAAGAGAAACTAAGACATTATTTAATCATTTCTATGGACAATGCAGATGTAGAACATTATATGATTTGATATATTTTTTTTTCTTGATCAATTTTAGCGGACATTTGGAATTTCTTTTAAATAAATGATTAAGCGCAACTGTTTTTTACGATTGCAAAAGCACGCTATCGTACGGTGTTCCGTAAGGACCACTGCGTTTTCTTGGAGAACGAAAGCGCGAATAATGGCAGTACGATGATGACATTACGATGACGATGGTGAGAATACGTCAATGCGATTGAGACAGTACGACAATACGATGATGACACCTACGACATTAGGTTGGCGATAGAATACGGTAGTGACAATACGACAGTACGATGGTGACAGTACGAAAGTACGATGGTGACAGTTACGACAGTACGATGGTGACAGTACGATGATGGCAGAACGACAGTACGATGGTGACTGTTACAACAGTACGATGGTGACAGTAGGATAGTATGATGTTGACAATACGACAGTACGATGATGACAGTACGACAGTACGATGGTTACAATCCGACAGTACGATGGTGACAGAAGGACAGTATGATTGTGACAGTACGACAGTACGATGGTTACAATACGACATTACGATGGTGACAGAAAGACAGTATGATTGTGACAGTACGACAGTACGATGGTTACAATACGACAGTACGATGGTGACAGAAAGACAGTATGATTGTGACAGTACGACAGTACGATGGTTACAATACGACAGTACGATGGTGACATAAGGACAGTATGATTGTGACAGTACGACATTACGATGGTTACAATACGACATCACGATGGTTACAATACGACATTACGATGGTTACAATACGACAGTACGATGGTTACAATACGACAGTACGATGGTAACAGTTACTGTCATGTTTTGCGATTTTCGTTCTTAAAGAAAATGCGCTTGCCCTGACGTTACACCATATTATCGGGTCAAGCATGAACTTTCATTCACTTAACATTAAGGTATTGGATGGCTAATGGAATATCTTCTTTTTAAATAGTTTTCTTTTCCATTGAGGAGACAGTGTTTCGATAGGGCATGAGTTCAAACCCCAGATGATACAATATTTTTTTATTTTTTGTTCTTTTTTCATCAGATGATTATTTTCTTTCTTTATTTACACCTAAAATTTGTAATTGAGAAAAATCGAAGTTTTATGTATATTAATTTTTACTTTGAAATGTATTAAATTTGATAGCATAGCGAATTGAAATGATTATAATTTAAAATCGGCATGGTAAACTTTCTTTATATTTTGCACAAATAATAAGAATAGTTTCTAGATAATTATTATTGAAAAATATTTGATGCCCCGATTATATTTGACAATATCTGATGTTTTATCTTACCTCATCCTCTTCTTATTTGAAGTAAAATAACCGGTACCTGTCTCAATAAACAAACCAAAAAGCTTTTTATATACATTTAACATTGATTTATTTAAAGTTATTTAAAAATATAGTTCACTATAATCACTCTTCGAGTATGGAAAATATTAAATAAGTAAAACTTGTCTACAGATAATGAAAACATAACTGTTGTTGTTGTTGTTGTTGTTTATGTTGTTGTTTAAAACTGATACAAAGTTGATCTTAAATTGTCAATATCTTTCAAACAAAAGGGTAAACTTTTGTATTTTTTTGTACTTATGTCTAGAGAAGTATAAAGTTTAGTAAAGTAAAGTGTAATAATAAATGTATAAAGTTTTAAAAGCCTTTTGAAAAAGTGATATTTATACATCTAATACCTTAACCAGAAGATACCGGAAAATGCCGTACTGCTAATATTTCAAAATCCTCCCTCAAAATCATTATATAGTTGAAAGAAATTGAAATGACTTTTCTAAATGTTCATATTTTAACATTATTGCTCTGAAAACAAACAGTTCGCTTTTCCACCAACGGAAAATAACTTCTTTTATTATACCTCGGAGTTCTTTCATCCGGGTTTTTTCTCTAGTATCACGTGATCGTACAGCACAATATCGCGACCTGTTTTCCGGAACGCACACGGAATCCGGGATTTTATCAAACATATAAGGATACGAATAACCGCTTTTTTGTTTTTATATTTGTAGTATTTGGTTTAAACATATTTATTGCATATATTTTAAACATACATTATACATACATTCAGTTTCATAACCATACTAACATAATACACGCAAAGGATTTTGACGGAAGCACTAAGTGCTTATTAAAGTGCTTATTAAAGTCAATCTCCATTATTGATAAATTACAATATAACTAATACATGGCTGGTAGATCTATGAGCAAGTAAAGAGCATATAACAAATGTGTACCATAACCGCTTCTATTGATTGTATACAAAATATTTTTTGAAAAATACACAAAACTAGGTTATGTGGTAAGGCTCTTGCATTATCTGTAATTGATAGATATTTTAACATAATATATTAATAGAAAAAAATAAAGAAAGAGAAAAAGAAGAAGGAATATTAAGATGAAAACCAACGTTTAGAGATGAAGAGACAAATAATTTTTAGCACACAGACAGTATAAAGACTATTAGGCTAGGCATTTTAGCCAAAAATAAGACCCAACCTCAAACAAATTAATTCCTTCAGAAAAGATATTTGCATATTTGTTATCTACTATATATGTGTTGCTACAGGAAAAAAGTCCTCAAAAAAATCAAAGTATAAAATGCTAAAAATGTCATGTTTTGAAATCATATGTTTTCAATTAGAATAATCTGTGAAATTAAATAACCAAGATATTCTACGCAAATATGGTCATTAACAAAGTAAAACATTAATACACAAACATGCTTTATTTAATCCAAAACACTTCAACCAATGTTGATTACATTCAAAAAGTCGCAACACTGCATAATCTATACATCATCATTTAGACTGGTATTAAACATTACCCCACCCACTAATGATAAATATTTTTTTTTTACTTCAATTTACTTCAAGTCAGATTCCATTTAATATTCTTACAAATTAGCTCTACCAAGATTAAAGTTGTATGAATCTATCTAAATTCATATTATGATTCAAAATTGCAATACATTTTACACAAATTATTATTATAATACATTACTGAGGCACGTTTATATATATATATAAAATTGCACTTACTTTACCAAGTAACCATGGAAGTTTTGTAAAAAAATATTGTAAAAAGACATTTTAAAATAAAATGAATATTCTGAATGTTAAGACACTGAAAAAAACACAATGTTATTTCATCATTTTTGTCACCGAGGCCCGACTATCCATATAGTCTAACAACGCTACACATGTATATATAAATATTGCCCTGTCCTTGTTCAATGCTGAAATTATATCTCCACTTTTTCGGCCGGTGCTGTTGAAACCTTTAGCCTGCCCTTTTCACAGAGACACATTGTTTCGCATCTGTAAAATTGTTACAACATAATATGATAAATATAAATGCGAACTTTGCATTCTGATTTTAAAATAAAACAATTTTATGTCAAACTGAAAATGTAGGTACTATGAAAAGCAAGATAGGATTGTGCTTTTAGATTTATATTTTTATATTGAATTATCTACAAATAATTCATACATTAATGAGGCACGTTTAGCCTCAGCAAAAACGTGCCTCAGCTTTCTTCTTTAGAAAATATGTTTCATGTTATATTGTTATAACAAATTTAAAGCTATCAGCTGAAAGAAGCGCTGACTGTGAAACATCATAATGTACCATATAAGTAGGAAATATTGAACACAACGGCACCTATACTTTCATACAGATAACTAAATTGGAAGTTTTGGTCGAGTGTTTAAGGTCACTGACTTCAAAACACTTGCTTCTTACGGTGTTAACGATGTACGTTCGAGACCTGCCTTAGTTTTGGAATCTATTATCTGACATAGCTATCCCAAACTAGCTTATAGAATATTGGTGGTACTACGCTCTAAAAATAATACCTATGTAACACTTTTTCCTTCACCAGTAAAGCTTGAAAGTTATTATATGACATGTAAAGTGTTGATGTGACATAAAAACCAACAAACAAATCTCTGATCTTAGTAATTCCGAGAATGTAAGAAAACTGCAGTTTTGGACACTAAAAATAAAACACTTTTAAAAGAAAACCATCTAACTTTTACAAATGTGAATTCCCTTTAGAAAAGTTATATATGCAGTAGCACACAAAATTAAATCACCAACTGTGTATTAAAAATATAGAGGGGTTTTCTTTGATTTACCTGTTAATTGCTTTTCAAAAATGCTGGATCTTTTCAAACAGAACCCATTTAGCCTCTCCTAACTTGGAACTATGGAAAGCTCTTGCCACATCCAATCAACGGATTGATTTATGTTCGCCAAAATATGAAAGGCTGGACTCTCGCTTAATATTGTCTTCTGCAATCAACCATCCCATACTATGTTTAGCCCTTCCTCTGAAAATAAGATATATAAAGTCCATAAAACATTATCAAAAAGATATTAAAAAGAAATAGTATTGAAATGATATAGTAGGGAAACGCCTGAGAAAATGTTGGTATGAGCAAACTCTTTTGTATGTGCATTTATTATAACCATGCTGTAAAACAATGATGTAAATTTGTGTTGATATATCAATTTCTGTTGTATTAACAAACCTGAAAGACACCCAATTGTTTTGTTTTCATTCATTCAATAAGTCTTATAAGATATATCTACGTAAAAAGCCATTTTTCTCTCACATCCCATTACCCATTGTGAAGAAGTCAGGTGTCTATCCATCTTCTAACTAATTATACAACAACTGTTCTATAAATGCTGACAACAACATATTGTAAAGATGTCAAGTTTCTATTAACAAATAATATAGGATTTAATATGTATTATTGAATTTCATGTAAAGCTGGAGAATGAACAATAATGGATTAAGAGAATATTATTACCACTTATAAAACAATTTGTTACGCAGAGTATACAACAGATCAATTGAATTTTTAGTATAAATTTGTAACAAAATTTCAAAATTCAGTTGTTAGTACTAACAATAATGTTCCTGATTTTAATCGATTCTCTCAAATATTTACCTAGATTAGTGAGTATAATTTTATTATTAGAAGAAATCAGTTCAATATTTACACATTGACGGACATTTGTAATAATATCGTTTCACATATTTTGTTTCCTTATGTCAACATAGCATATCAAAACAAAATGGTATTCGTCTTCTAAATCCATAGTATTACAACATAAACAATATCTTTCACTCCTTGGGATTCTATTTTGACCATATCTATCCGTTTGTACTCTTAGTGTATGTGCAGACATTCTAATTCTTGTGATGTTAAATCTAAGATCCTTTGGTAATATGTTAAGATAGTTTTCGTATGAATATAATTCTTTACATTTTTTATAAAGTTCTAAAACAGAATTATTTTCTAAAGATGAATGCCATATTGGTATATAATTATCAATAACTTTGTTTAAATATTTTTGGAAACAATTTACTATCTACGATATTATTTTCAAAAAAGTATTCGGATCAACCATATATATCTAGCATTTCTTTAACATTTGATACCCAGTTTTTACTAACAGTCAGATAAACTTAATTCATATGTTTTCCGTAAAATTATATTGTCAGTATTTATCAATTTGCACCAAAACTTAATTATTCTTACGTATCGATTTATATACAATGGGTAACGGCCGAGTTCGCCGTATATACGAACATTGCTTGTATTAATTGGCTCTAACATTTAAAATTCTATTACAATACTTCAAGTGAATACGCTCAATTATCTTTTGATATGCTATAACCCCATACTCTCAGGTGCATATGATATGATTGAACCTAGAAAAGAATCAAATAATTGGCATAATAATTTGGGTTTTAAATCCATGTCTTCTGTTAAGAAATAAAAGTAATGTATAAAGTTTCAGTAACAGCTTCCTCGTTAATGGGAAATAGTTTTAGCTTGATTACACCCTATTGGATTCGCTGTCTATTTTTCATATAACATGCTGGAATATTATCATTTCGCTTAGAAATGCATTATGTATTACAAAATACGTTTGTTTACATCAAGTTATCATATTATTTGATTTATTTATGATTTCCACAATTCATAAAACATGCCAACTCTTTGAAATAAGTCAAATTTAACATTTAAAAAAATATCCCTAGATTTTCGTGGATTTGGTCACAACACGCTTCAGTAGAGAAGAAAAATTTACATAACTTGTGCATACACATTTTTCTTTAATTCTCAGTAAGTTGTGTGGTTAATTCTGTGTCATTTTAGATAATTATACAAAAGAAAACAATATAGAACAGTGAGTAAAAGATAAACTCTCTTAAGTCTCTTTAAATGATACTTCATTCAAAATTGTGTTTAAAATCGCGAAATTATATGACACATTTTGTCATCTGCATAATCGATTGATTGGTGATCAATTAAATCTATCTAATGACATATTTTTCCCTAAAATTTATACAGAAGAATATAAAGATGACTAAAATTACTCACCTTTGCACTAGGAATGCTGGAATTGAAGTAACTTCAGATCTTTCAACGAAAATATAATAAACGTGACGTCACTGAACGTGTATAAAATCAAAGTACTGTGTAATTTAAGAGACACATTTAAATATTGATTTTTAATAAATCTTTATGATCGATTTTTCAGGATTCTGCAAGGAGGTTTTTTGAGGACTTTTTTCTCAAAATGTAGATAATGTTTATCTTTTATTTAATCGTTAAACATTTCTGAAGGAATTAGTTTTACCATAATTTCTATTATGACTGGCCTATATGATTTTTTTAAGTGTTTACCAATGTAATTGTTAAGTCGTAGACAGTACTTTGCAACATTTACTCGTCATGCAAACCTCCCAGTATCCATTATGTATTTTTGGACGGCCAGAAATAACTCCGTATTGTCTGATTGAGAAAGAGAAACATCCCCAAACAGAAGAGTATGAAGAGAGACATTTTGAGTGATTTGACGCACTTTTGTGAGAAGGCATGTACGGTGGCAACTATAAAAGTGACATTCGAGAAGATAGTGATACTTGTTTTCAGGTTGTCCACAATGGCAAAGGGGAGATTGGACTATATTACGAGTGAAAAGGTGATGATTTAGTTTGCTACAATTCATGCGGAGTCTAGCATGTAAGACCTGTGCCATTCGTGATCCGCTGTAAAAATAAGCGGGCGTACTATCACGGACTGGCATAAGTTTACTTTTAAAAACTTTTAAAGTGGGTGAATTTCTTACATCTGTTGATAGGTTATTCCAATCGCGAACTGTCACGGGTAAGAAAGAACTGTAATATTGGTTAATTCGGGAATGTACAGGTCTCAACTGCTCTGGGTTTCGAAGGTTGTACGAAGACGTTGATCCAATATTTGGGGGGACGAGATTTGTTAGATATTCTGGTGCAAGACCATTTATCATCTTATAGAACATTATAAGCCTGTGAACGCGTCGTCTCTCTTCTAGGGATGACCAATTCACTTCCTGTTGAAGTTTATCGAGAGAGACCAGTTAGTTTGCTCCCGATACAATACGAGCACATTCGTTTTGGATCTTATCAAGCATATCCTTTTCAGCCATAGAGCAATTATCCCATATAACATCAGCATATTCTAGAATTGGTCGGATGAAAGAGGTGTATATTACTTCAAGAGATTTCCTATCAAGAGTAAATTTCAGTCTACGCATAATGTGAACCCGTTTCCATGCTTTATTTACTATATAGTTAATGTGTTCATGCGAAGAGCAGTCATTTGAAAGAATGATACCTAGATGTGTGTGGTGTTCTACTTTCGGTATAATTTGGCCATGCATGTTTAGAGATGGGTGGTTTTGCTGATGCATTTTTCTACTTAGCAATAGGCATTCAGACTTTACATGATTAAAGTTAACTAACCACGTATCGGCCCATTCTGTTATTTTTAGAATATCAGATTGGAGGAGTTCTGCAGCAGCATTTGGGTTTTCAACAACAATATATAAAATGGTATCGTCAGCAAAAAGACGGATATGATTCCAATGTCAACGACAATATCATTTATAAAAATAAGAAACAATAGGAGTCCTAAAATTGAGCCCTCAGGAACTCCAGCGTTTACTGCATCCCATGTAGATTGAGTACCAGGTAGCACAACGCATTGTCGTCTTCCGGAGAGATAATTAGTAAACCAGTCTAATAATTTACCCGAAATACCAGCATTTTCTAGTTTGACCAACAGGCCTTTGTGCCACACCTTATCGAATGCTTACTTATGTCAAAGAAAACCGTTTTTACTTCTAAACCATTATCGAGCGCTTTACAAAATGTATCGTATAAAAGTGTTATCTGATTAACTGTGGAGTCACCTGGTCTAAATCCAGACTGAAAAGGGGACAAAAAGCGGATAGCGTTTAAATTATTATAGATGTGTTTAAAGATAACTCTTTCGAAAACCTTTTCAATGCAACTGAGTAATGAAATAGGTCTATAGTTGACAGGGAGACAAGTGTCACCATTTTTGTAAATAGCACAGACATTTGTGTCTTTCCAAGTTTCAGGGACTATACATGCACGAAGAGAGTGATTAAAGAGAGAACATAGAGGGATTGATAATTCAGCTGATGATTCTTTGAGATTACGGTTGTTTATTCCATCTGGGCCAGATGCTTTTCCTGGAGAGAGATTATTTAATGCGTCTTCTATTTCTTGTGGACTAAGAACCAGAGATGTTAGGAGATTAGTGTCAGTTGGAGGAATTGCTTGCGGGACTTGCTTGCCACTATCATTCAGTAAAGTTTGGCTACAAAAATAGTTATTCAGCAGTTCAGCTTTTGCGAAGGAATCGTATATAAGATTGTCAGTATATGGGCTTTTTAAAGGAGGTATAGTTTTGTCTGTATTTGGTGAAATAAAATACTTAAGGGTAGACCACCAAGACTTAGGTGAGAGAGGTTCGGATTTAAGTTTTTTTGCCATTTGTTCATAATAATCAAGTTTAGAGCGTCGTATTAATGTGACGGTGTCATTACGAAGTCTTCTAAATTTTGCCCAAGAGGGTTCGCTGTTAGTTCGTTTGGCCTTCCTGTATGCACATTTACGTTTTCTAATAGCTTTACGGACTGATGTATTCATCCATAGACCGCCTCCGTGGTCGAGGGGTTAGAGTCGATGACTTCTAATCCAGTTACCTCTCTGGCTTGGGTTCGATTCCCGGGAGATGCTTTGGTAGTTTAGCGCGGAGGAAGGTAGTCTAGTACTTGTGTAACTCTTCAGGAACGATGGTTAGGAAACTACCCGCCTATATGACTGAAATACTGTTGGAAAAAGGCGTAAAAAGAAAGAAACAAACAAACAAAGTATTAATCCATGGTACATCGTTAGGGCGTATTCTGAAAATTTTATTAGTAATACATTTGCTGCTGATTTCTAAAATATTTTCTGTTGGTTATATGAATATTGATGTTCTCATGGTAACAAGAGTGCCAGTCGAACTCACCTAGTGCTTGTTTCAGAGTGTTAAAGTCACAACGGTCATACATCCATATGTGTCTTGAATAGGAAAACAATTTTGGCTTGTGCTTAACAATTTTACTACTTCATGTTTAAATGTTGAATTCTGCTTAAGCCGGTGCTAGGGGGCGTGAACGGTAATTTGCACTTTCCAGTACCGTCCATGAACAGGCTCACTCAAACCGAGCCTGCAACATTTTCAATTTTGCCGTGTTGGGCTCTATTTAGGGATTCTGTATTTAACTTTGTTGTGAAATTTCAACAGAGCAAAGACTGGACAGTGAAACCGAACATTTTGGTCAAGAAAATGGTCACCGACACCAGAAAATAAAACATTTTCAGCTTTAGATACAAATATTAGATCTAGAGTTGAGTTTGAGTTTTCGGTAAAATGTGTCGGTTCATTAATAAGTTGCACAAGATCGTTCTCGCGACAGAGTGAAGCTATATTCACAGATGCATTACAATTTTAAGTATTGAAATTAAAATTTACCGTGATGAATATATCGGAAAACCCAGTATCGACAGCCAGTGAAAAAGAGTCTTCTATTAAGCTATTATAAATTGAATCAGCGTTAGGTGGCCTGTAAAAAGTATCTTTTTGTTGTTATGCAATGTAACCTCGACCCATAAGTATTCTAGGTTATTTGGTTCAAGATCAGCTTTATGCTTGAAGTGAAGATTCTTTTTAACATATATAATAACACCTTCATGACTGTCTCCGTGTTGGTCTTTACGGAGAGGCAAATGAAATGAAGGAAATCTCAGCTACAGGTCCAGCTACTGGTGGGATTTCAATGAAACTTCACATGAGTGACTATACATTTTCGGATGACATATGTTTTTATGACTAAAACTCTACTAGTTTCTTTATATGTTTCCTTCATTCCGTTAAGAAAGGGTGATTTGCCCAGAAAAATGGAAAAGTTTTCTCCAACCTTATCCATCCACAGAACACATAATGTATATTTTGTAATGATTTGAGATGTGGCCTGTGATAAAAGCAATAATATATCCAGATTTTACCGCGTATAATAATTTGCGCTAGAATCTTAAAATTCTTAACTGGTTCCCCACGAAGTTTATATGTTAACAACCCATTGACTATTATACTAAGTTTATGTATCATGTTATTATTATACATATATTCCTGAAGTTAAAACATATTTTTCCATCGTTATTACTTTGTGAAATATTCAATTTAAACAACAGCCTTGTGGCAGCAAACAAGAATAATGTTAAATAAAAACCGATATATACACATTAAGGAACATAAAAGACTTAAATAGTTGTGAAGTTCTTATCACATTCAATAGCACGAACGTCAAATGAATACATAACTGTCAATCTATAATTTCACAGATAAACTTTTCAAGATCGGAAAGTGGGAATGAATTGTAACACTAGCAACAGGAAACTCGAAAAAACAAATAACTTCAAAATAGAATAAATGTAGCTTTAATGAAGTTGTCAATAAGTTGGAGGCATATGAAAGAAAATGACATAAAATTGTAATTTAGCAGTAGACATACACTGACGGATATCCCTTGCGCGAGATTTATTGGCTGGCATCTTGATCTAAAATGGTAAGGTATCAGCAATTTTGTGTTACCGAATAAGGTAACATAAGTGTTTCTTCCACTTTAAATAATGATTTATATCATTTTGATTTCTTTTCTTTTTAACATTTAAACAAATTATTTTTCGGCCCTTCCTTCGTCACTAGGTCAAGATTACATGACGGAATGCGTATCGTGTCAGTCCCGTCAAAAAATCCAAATACTAGATTTACTGTAAAACTCATCTGCAATAAGTATTCAAATTAAATTTAGAATCAAAGGTAAACAACGAGTTAATAATTTCCCTATAGGCACCGTCCGTCTTTCCGTCAGTCAATCCGTCCTTCCGTCCACAAAACTGGATCCCGTGATTACGCAAAAAGAATTGATTTTTTTATAAAACTTAAAATATGGTCAGATATTGAAGATGAAGTTTGGAGATTATACACGTCTCTTTATTTTCTTCTTATGTTGAACAATATGTTGTTATGGCGACGACTAGACTTAAAATATGGCAAATA